GGTCATTACTTAGCCAGGTCAGCCTTCATGTGGGATTTTTTGTATGTTTTACTTTTTCTGAAGACATTGAATCTTAGAAGAAAGTTTGTCTTGCTCCATTAATAATTAGACATCGCAGTATGGTTATTGGATAGGAACATGAATCATTTGTATATGATTTTAACAAATGCTATGTAACATCAAATTCTTTTTTTAATATAGCGTGTAGTTTAGAATCATTGTATTTTTTTAAATTTTTATTGAATTTATTGGGGTGACATTGGTTAATAAAATTATATAGATTTCAAGTATACAGTTCTATAATACATCATCTGTATATTGCATTGTGTGTTCCCCACCTCCAGTAAGTCGCCTTCCATTAAATAAGAACTGGTAATACTATTGTCTCATCTCAGTGCATGGCCTGGAGTTGCCCTAAGTTGATAGCCCCTAGCCATATGTGGCCCTTGAAATGTGACTAACGTGATTGAGGAACTGAATTTTTAATTGTATTGAATTTTAATAAATTGAAATTTTAGTTTAAATTCCCAGATGTGGCAAGTGGCTATTGTGTAGAATAGCACAGACCTAGAGCAAAAGTGTGTGATCGATCTGGTTTGAACTAATTGTATTAAATGAAACTCTTACACAATAGTTTAATTATAGGTTTCTGTTTACAAAGCACTTACTTTGTGTAATAAAATGCTTACTTGTTGGGTTCGGGATTTACATTCTACTGTGTTGTTGGGGATTGCCCACTCCCTGAGGAATGTAGTGGGAGAGAGGGACATGGGTGGCAGAGCATAACCACCCTGAAGGCTGACTTACAGGACGGGGGTTAAGACAGTACAGGAACCGGGACCTCGATTTTGTGGGCAGGGAAAGCCCTAAACACAGTTCTTAAGGCATTAACCTTTCCCCGTGCTCTGAGATTGTGTTTATTCTAAAAAATCCACAGGCGTTATACCTACTATAGGAAGACCTGGGAAGAGAAAAAAGTCCAGGAATCTAGTATTTGCAAATTTATTTAAATGAACAAAAAAATAACAGTGCTCTCAACTGCACTAGGATAGTTTTTCCTTTCAAATTTGATTTGATTTTATAACCATTTTGATAGTTTCAGATTTCCAAGTTGGCTTTTAAGTTTTCTTGAAAAGAATATCTTTTTAAAATTATAGTATTATTGTAGAATCTTGAAGCTTGAAAAATACTCAAATTTGGGTTTTCTGTAAAATACGTTAATATTACGCACTTGCTTTACCTCATAGAAAGCATGACATTTGTTTATTGTGGAAAGAATATTTAACATGAAATCAACCCTCTTAATTTTAGGTGCACAGTAAGTATTAGTAACCATAGGCACAAGGTTGTTCAACATATCTCTAGAATGTGTTCACCTTGCATTAACTGGTATTTATAATAGCTGAATAGCAGCTCCCTATTTCCTTCTTCTCTCAGCACCTGTCACCTACCAATCTGTGCTTCTCTAAGTTTGACCAATTTTTACTACTAGCCATAGAGAACCTGGAATTACAAAGACTCAGACATTTTCCCCATGTTCTAAGAAGTCTATAGTAGCTGGCCCCCGGCATCAATTCAATGGCTATTTGATGACCGTGTCTACATCTATACAACTTTCTCAAACATTTCCTCATGTTTTCCTGTCCTGGTTCATACGGCTACTGTAGTTTTCATCCATCACAACCATGTTCCAAGCAACAAGACGGTGGTGGGCAGGGACCATACTACGTCCACCTGTTTATCAGGAAATCACAGTTTCACAGAACTGCCCCCTTCCTCCCACGAGACTTTCATAACCCCCTTCTGCTGCCCTTCACTCACAAAAAAAAGAAAGAAAAATATTTTTCTTAGCCAACTACAAGGAGTGAATAAACATTGAGTAGACAGTCATGGTTATTCAAAGTCTTTTCTGAGGTTAAATTCAGTAACTGGCAAGAGAGGAATGTCTGGATTTGGGTGTTCCTAAACACAGTGAAGGCGTGATGCTGAGGAGTTGTTGTTCATGAGTAGCAGTTTTACAGAGAAGTAAGAGGTGTCCAGGAAAGTAGGATTATGAAGATAGAGCACAGAACATTTGACATTTAGTCTTATCCTTAGGTTATAGCGATTAAACCTCACGATTTGTAAGCCATCAAGGCATTAAGTGTTGAGGTTGTCTGTTTTCCCATGTCACTGTACACTGGAAGTAGTTTTGTTTGTACTGGTTCTGCATGTCACTAACAGCATGTAATTGAGCAAGGATGTAACATTCTAATTTTCTTTGCATCTTAAATTCTAATGGTGAAGAACTTCAGCTTGTCAATTTCAGTAGTTATTTCTAGCTTAAACATCGTCAATTCAAGATTTAAACATCATCAATTAAAGGTTCTCCATGCTTTCCCTTCTTTTACTCCAAGTTGATTTTAAGTTCTCTGGAGATTTGCAACATTAGTCATTTAGTCTAAGACATTAATGCTACATCTGTTGTAGCACTAAGAAAGAAAAAATACTGTCAATTTAATTATGAAACAATATCGTGATATTTTTACTTAATATAGGAATCATGTATGGCAGCCTCTCAATCCAACTAAAGTATTTGTCAGTTTCTTCTGCCATCATGTGCATTTCTTGGTGTGTAATAGTCTCCTTTAGAACAGAAATTAACAAAGCTATGTTTACTGGTAATATCTTCCCATTTAAAATAAATGTTTTTTAGCAAAAATATGGAATTGACCCCACTGTTTTAGTGACAGACATTTGTGTACTGACACCAAATTATAGCATACTATTATCTTTCATAGTTTTCTACATATATAACTTTTGCTTCAGTGATGACTCATGATACTATATTTTGAAGGCATTTGAAACTTTATTGACAACTCATCCCCTATAATAATAATTCAGTGGAAATAACAATACCAAGAGCTTCAGTCAGTTTTCTGCACATATGAGCAATACCTGTGTGACACGATTCTAAGGTACCGTCAATTGGGAGGTGAGTTACAAATTCAGAGATGTTAAAATATGAAATATGTGTTTTAGAATTGTGAGGTACAGTACCATGCACAGGAGAGGGTACACTTGCAGTCCTGCTTGGTTCGGGGGCTTTAGTGGCCATCATTGCTTCTGCCAAAAGCCTCTTATTAACAGGTCCACACAAATTACACTGTGTATTCCTGGTTGCATCTCCAATCTTCTCTGATCTACCAGTCCTATAGACACACACATACATACACACACACATATTTTCAATAAATACATATATTTATTCCAGGCATCGGGAACTCTTGGGTTTCTTACCCTGTCCCATGCTAATAAATGCACCACATTTTTCAAATTGCTGTGAGATATCTGAGAAACTGAGTTAGCGTAGAAATATAGGAGATTTCACTGAGGAAGTGATAATTGGATTGTAGTTATTTTTAAAAATATGTAAGACATTTACAGGTATGGCAGGTATGGCTCAGTGGATTGAATACAGGCCTGTGAACCAAAGGGTCACTGGTTCAATTCCCAGTCAGGGCACATGTGTGGGTTGCAGGCCAATTCCCTGGTGGGGGGCACTTAAGAGGCAACCACACATTGATGTTTCTCTCTTCCTCCCTTCTCCTCTGTCTAAAAATAATCAACAAATATTTGTTTTAAATGCATGAGATTCAAATAAGAGTAATATTTCAAGCAGAGCTGAAAACATGAGTCAGGGAATGTCCTGGCAAGAGTTTGTGCATGTTGTGAGCTGCTATAGAACACATGATATGTGAAAGGATCACAGCACATCAGTCAAATTTTGGGACCAAATCAAGAACATGTTAAAAAGCAACATATTAAGGATTTGGATTTTGCTATTTGTAAAAATGGTCACAAATCATCCACTGCTTTGGAGTGAATGAGTAATAGCATGAAATTTATTTTCTAGGAAAATGATTTTGTTGACCTTGTAAAAATGAATTAGAGTTAGAAATAAACTAAGGTCCAGTCTTTTGAAGTTGTTCAGTTGAGAGATGTCAAAGCAGAAGCAAAGGCTAAAAGGGAAAGGGTTGTATAAAAAGAGGACTACATATTAATTATGTGTTAATAACCTTCAACTTCTTTTTGAAAAAGCTTAAATTACCCCCAAATTAGAATATATAAAGAATCTCATTAGCCTATAACAATCTAGAAATTTATTATAGATTGCTTACTAAAGATTTAAATAAAACAGCAAGTTGGAAGAGGGCATTACTCATTCTCAAACGTATCTCCCATGAATTTGTAAATGTTGGTGATTGTAAGAGATTAGGGTAGTCAAATTAGCATACCTGTGGTTATTCTTTTAGTTTGCCTAAATGCCTTTGGTTGTACTAGCTTTAATTAGCAGAAATTTTTTAGAAGCTATGATTTTAATTAAGTAACACTAAAGCCTGGTGTATAATTAGAATTAAGGTCTTTAAAAATGTATATGATAAAATTAGGAATTCTTTTGACCATAAACTAGTCAATAAAGGAAGAAAATGAGCAAACTTTCTCCATTATATGTTTATGGAAGACCTTATCTTCAGTTTGGATGAATTCTGTTACTGTATTATAAATATTAGAAGCAATTTTTTGTTTAGTAGAGTATATACTTCCAGGCCTGCTGCTTCAATTAATTCTTCTTTCTGAAGATTTAGAAATACAATCAGTTAAGAATTGTATTTACAGAAATTATGGAAACAAATAACTGAATTTTATACTTAAGTCAATTAAAGTCATTTATAAATATTATATGAGATGTAACTTGGTAAAACTATGAACTATTCTTTAATTACCCACACTAGTTACATATAAAATCCCTTTGAAAAAATTAGAATTACAATGTGAACTATAGTATCTGATATAATTAATATAGACATCATCTGTTTTATCAGTGTCATTCATTATAATTCCCTTAGATTAAGTACTTTCATTATCTTCTTTGCCACTTGAAATGTTTGGGAATATTTTAAAATATGATTAAATTTATTACAGGATGAGCATTTAATAGTGTTTTATTTTTCTTGCAGATAAGACTGTGCCTTTTGTGAAGATTTCATCTTTCTACAATGAAGAGCAGAATTTTTATGTTTAAGGAATAAGAAGCCACTTTATCATTGGGGGGGTATTTAAGTCACATATATTATGACAGCTCTTAATTTGTTATTGCCATAATACTATATTGTTTTACTATGTTTGTGTGTGTGTGTGTGTGTATATATATATATATATATATATATATATATATATATATATATATATATAAAAGTGCTCTTAATGGGCTTAGAGTTATTTGGAGTAAACTGTACTATAATAGACATCTGTTTTAGAGCAGGTGTTCTCTGATCAGTTTTTGTTTTCCACTTACTATATTATTGGAAACTGTTTGATAGACTAATGACTTTGTTTGTTTTGATTTTGCTGGTTAATTTTTTTTTTCCTGGAACTATAAATTCCAACAACTACTGTATAAAAAATTAAAAATTTCTTTATCAAGATATATTTCCCATGATTGTAAGGGAAAAAAAGCCAAATTTATTACTTTGCCTTTGGGTCTTTTAAATATTGATAAATATGTGAGTTGTATGGAAAACAATAAATATTATTTAAAATTATTTTAAGTGGTGCAGTGTGTGTTTATAAACTAAACCTGTACTATTGAATTATTATATATTAACATGCATTTTATATGATTTCTAAAAAAATCTGTTAAAGAAGGGTTATTACATTTTAGCAAATTTCTTATTGAATCAGGTTATCTACTTTGATTATATATTTCAGAAATGAATAAATTTCAAAGCCAATATTTTATTAATTGTGCTGAGAAATAAAAATAATGACAAACCTTTTAATCATATTACAGTACAGGAGAGTAAGGCATTAAAGTAGGTGCATAAAGAGCCAGGTAGACCTAGATGCAAAAAGTGATTTTATCATCTCATCTCTGAATGAATTATTGAGCTTCGACCTTATCGAGCTTCAGTTTTTCACATTCTAAAAATCAGAGGAGAACTTACAGCAAAAGCACGGGTCACACACTCAGTTTCTTACAGGGGACAGGGAAGTTATTTAAATGTGTGTCAGGATAGGCTGCGACCTGAAGCCTGTGGGTCACATGCAGCTCAGAACGGCTGTGAATGCAGCCCAACACAAAATTGTAAATGTATTGAAAACATTATGAGATTTTTTCTGTGTGTGCGATTACATGTCCCAGTGTATTTAATGCATGGCCCAGGACAACTCTTCTTTCAGTGTGGCCCAGAGATGCCAAAAGGCTGGACACTCCTGTCTAGAACATGTAGTAGTCTCACCTCCCAGTGGGTTACAACATTGATTTTTTTCTTCCCCTCACTTACACTGCCCATTTGTTATAGACTGTGATTCTGTTCTTTGTTGTCTTTTCTCGAGAGCCAAAGTCAATTCCAAACTCTGCCTGGAATATTGCCTCGTAGCTGATGTCCAGCCATGGTGAAGGGCATGCCAGTTCATAAGTTTCTGCCCTAAACTACATTTTATCTTAAGGCCACATATGAGTTCTACAAGGCAAGGATAGGTAATCAAGCAATGAGATGAGCTGGAGACTTGGCCACCCAAAATGCCTGCTTAGTTTTACCTATATAAAGTAACTGGCATACCATGATGGGTCGAGTCCACCGATGTCAGTGTGTTTGTGTATATTGTGTAAGCAGGGATTAAAGCAAAAATATGCCTCTTAAAGGGATCAGCTTCTGTTCAGTTCTCACCGGTGGTTATTAAGAGAGAATACTTGCCTAGTGCTGCTAAATCTTTTAGTTTTAATTTTCAAGAGAAGTTAGACTCCATTATTTCCTACATGAAGTTTCCTTATTTTAAAATATTATTAGAACATATTTTTGAATTACATGTAGCCCCATACCTGCCACTTTGTTATATTTGAAAAGCATATACTATAGTATCTTAGAAAGTATTTATTAATATCATTCATTTAATAATAGTTGTTATTTATAAACTAACTTTTATATTAAAAGTAAGTGTAGGTAAGAATTAAATCTGTTAGAGAATAAAAATCCTAATTATTTAGATAAAGTAATAATTATTTTCATAAGTGATTTTTAAGTTGGGTTTAAAGAGGATGTTACCAAAGTGTTTTAAGCAGTGGGGGTACTTTATTAGAAATACAATTTCTCTTGGTGACTACTTCAACTGAACGTGGAAATTCTGGCATGTTTGTGGAAAATGCTTTTATTTCATTACTTTTATATAGTCATTCTTGAACTGCAAATCTACTATTATAATCATCATAATAAGCCATACTTTGATTAAAGTGCTAAACAGTATGCCAGATTTTAGCTTCATTAGATATAGTAGGATTTCACCTACAAAGCTATATGTACATTATGAAATAGACAGTGTTATCTTAGATGTTGTGAAAATGTGTTCCTATTCTTCCTTCCCATTTTGTACTTCCTTATGGCTATTTTATTGGCAAGAACCTAACCTAGAGATTAGAGGTCAGTGGACACTAGTGTAATTGTGTTCTAGCCCAGGAGACAAGTAATGGAGAAAAAGGGTAGTTGTTAAGTAATTTGTAGATTTTCTACACTTGAACTGGAGGTTTCTGACCAACCACTGTGTGGGGCTAGTAAAGCAAATTGCTCCTTTCAGCCTAATTTCTCTTGATTATTAGGTAGGTAACCACTATGATGAAAATTAAACCCTTGAGCTGGGTGGGTGCTCAACTTCCACCTTGCCAACTTCCAGCTGGTTTGGGGGTTTAGTTACCTTACCAAGGATGTAATCTGTTACCTTTTGTCACTTACCCTCTCTTTATTTAATTTTATTCTGCTACTTTAATTTTAATTTTATTCATTTTCACTTATTCAGTATAGCTTTACCTAATTTACTTTTTTAGGGGAGCAATATAGGAAAGGGAGTTATTTTCTCTCATGTTAGGAGTTAAAAAGATGGAAAGAATGAGTGTAGTGAAATAATCCATTCCATAAACATGCAATTGGCATAGTTATTTCCCTGAATACTCCTCTAGCTACCCCATCACTTTCAAGGGTGGCTTTCATAAACAGCTTTACTTCAGTGCCTTAGAAGAATCAAGCAGAAATTATTATCAATACAGATGCTGTGCTTGTTTTACTAAGATGTGTTTTCATTTTCCCTCTCATTTCACAGTATCAGTCCTTATATCAGACATTGAATGTTGTAAAGCTACAGTTTTCAATATGTCTTGCCTGCCCATGACAACATCATGTTACAGGAAAAGAATAAAGGTAGAAGGGAAGAAATGAGGGGAGGAGCGCTCCCCAAAACTTCCATGTCTGGCTGGCTGAGAAAGTAATAATGTTGCATGTTCCATGAAAAGATCTTATTAGCACAGAGCCACAGTGTCGGATCTCTAGCCAGGTTTCTGGCTCTATTTTTGCTTCTGACTTTAAATATCTGTTTTTATTTGGGTTCTCTGTATTCTTATAATACAGGCTCCTTCAGTACCCATGCCGAATCACCAGAAATAAGGGAAAACTACTCAGATACCTTTCTCAAATAGGCATTTGAACCACATTAAACTGAACATCTCTGATAATTATTTCTCTTAATCTGCTGTGCTCACCCTCTTGCCTGAAGAAAGTTCTTGACAGGAGTGCAACTCAGGCTGTTTTATTTTTAACTCCCTCCCCCCCCTTCTCTTTCTCTCTCTCTTTCCCCACCCCCCTCTCGTTCTTTGCCTTTGAAACAGAAAGGATGGCCATCTTTAAGCTTCAGGTTTTTCAGACTTTAGCTCTTTTCCTTTTGTTTTATCCATTTTTCCCCACTGAATCTATTATTACTATTCATCCATGCAGGGTCTAACCTCCTTTCCTAAAAGAGACCATACACCCTCCCTCTTTTTTTTTTCTTTGCAGCTGGATCAATTGTACCTCCTACCAGCCTCCTAAAAATATGTCTATGAAACTTCTCCTAACTAGACCCTCAGACAAATTTTCCAACTATATTTTACCCAGTAAGTTTCTCATGGACCCATAGCTTTTTCTGGATAAATCAGCTAAATTTTAGGAAGACGCACCAGTGTGGTTAGAGAAGCCTAGGAAACCTACAGATTTCTAAAGCAACAGACATGTGACCTTTAATTAGTTACCCTTGGGTTGTCATATTTACAGTATACCGTCGGGCTAGGAATTTAACAAATCCTAAGATATAAAGTAAAATCAATAGGTACAATCTTTCAGAAATGACCAACTCTGGACAGTTCTGCTGGCAATAGTTTTTTCTGGAAATATGGCAAAGCAGGTTCCCAAATTAGTCATCCCAAATCTTTATTTTGTCCTTTCTAATAGATTTTAATTTCTGTTTTCAACATATGTCAATGTTATTTCACGATATTCCATAGGTTTTTGTTTTGCCTTCTCTGACTCTGTGGTATAATAAACTTTAACAGATAAGAGTGGATTAATCAAGCTTATTTCTCATGTCCACAGCATTCTGCTGCTTATTGCTTCTGAATTAGTTGCTTCTCATGGTACTTACTATTCCTAGCAAAAGTACCTTCTCTGGATATTTATGTGCAGTTTTGTTTTAACTTCCTTATGAGGTACATGATTAAAAAAAACTATTTATATCTAGGGGCTTGACACCCAAAACTGTTAGCAGGACCAAAGAGACTCTTGTTAAGCATATCGAGGAGCAAAGATTTCCTTTTTTTGCAGGGAATTTAGCGGTTCTTAGTCTATGGGAAAATTTTAAAAATATGCATGTGCTTACCCCACACTCAAGAGTTCATATTATTTTGGCATAGGAGTGGCCTAAGTATCTGTATTAGACAGCTCCACAGTGATTCTGTCATGAGCTCAGAATGAGGTCCTCTGCCAGTCTGAAGATTAACCCCATCAAGAGTAAGAGCAGAGTTTCAGAGACTAACAAACCTTGTACTGATTCTGGCTCCATCATTTTCCTCTACTTAAGTATCTTCAATATTTCTTTTTTTCCAAGCATATTCTCCATGTGTGACTCATCATCCAGTCTAATCAAACAGTAATGTATTAAAAGCTTTAGATTTGTTCATTTGTTCAATCCTTACACTAGCTCTTTGAAGGAGAGATTATTCTCGATTTGCAGATACCGGCACACTGAGGCTGAAAAAGATTAAGGAACTTGCCCCAAATGAAACAGCTAGTAGTAGCAGAATGGTCTATTGAATATGAGCTCACAAAATTTATTTTTACTAATGTACATTTTAGTTTGTCTCCAAAGAAAGGATAAGGTTGTTTATAGATGTGCATATATGAAAAGATAAAATCAAGTGGAGGAGGTGAAGGCATTGAGGCTCAGGGAAACAAAAGGTAGGAAACTAAGGTCATACTGTGATTTTATTGTTTCACATTTGTACTATGAAATCCCTCACACTTGCTGTAAATGTGCCATGAATGTCACTCAAGAGAGAAGTGAAGTTGTTCTGTTATTGCTAGTGCAGGGACTACAGGGATATTTCTTTTACCAGGTTTTCAGAGAGTAATGAAATTGAGATCCTCTGGTATAACAATAGTGAACACTTTTTTTAACATGTTTACATTAAACCTGCAAAGTATATTGTGCACATCTTTCTTATAATGTCT